GACAAATTTTCTTCTCCTTAAAACAAAAATAAGACCATGTGAGGTTCAAACCTCAGACCTGGTGTGGTGCCACTGTGCTATAAGCCCAGCACTTAGGAATCTGAGACAGGACGGTCTCTTAAGTTCTAAGTCAGAACTTGAGACCATCCTGCTAAGCCAGGTTGAGAGACGTGGTAAATGCCCATCTCAGAAAACCAAACAAATAAAAGATGCACAAAGAATGCTTCCTTAAATGGGACTAGAGCATCCAGAGTGGGAGATCAATGAGACATCTCTTTCTACTGTGGCCTGACTGAAATTTAGCACTTTAACTGTGGATGTAGGCAGTGGTACCTATAACCCAGTTACTAATGGTATGACCATTTTCCCTTTATACTCATTGTAGATATTGTTATGTTTCAAACCTGGAACAAATGGCTGAGGCTTCCATTTAACATATCAAAGCAGATCTGGCTGCCAAATTCTCCCAGCATCCTTCAGTCCTACCTATTACAGGGTATGGGCTAGTATGCCCCACCCCCTACCCTGAACTCTTTAGTCCAGGAGTTGGGCTGCCCTTCCCCCAGAGGCTTTTCCCTATATAATCCAGTCATTTTGGTTACCTGCCCATTTTTGTACCTTTGGGCTCCTGGTTGCTGCACCTGGTTCTCCTCTCTCCCTCCTCCACCACCACCACCCCTCACCCCCACCCCCACCCCCACACTGCTCAGAATTATGACCACTCTGGAATCTTGAGATGTGTCAGACTCTGGCTATGCTCTCCTTTTTTTTTTGGTTTTATGAGACAGGGTTTCTCTGTATTGTTTTGGAGGCTGTCGGTCCAGCCTGGCCTCGAACTCACAGAGATCCGCCTGCCTCTGCCTCCCGAGTGCTGGGATTAAAGGCGTGTGCCACCACCGCCCGGCTTATGCTCTCCCTTTTATCTACAATCAAGTTTCTCCTCTACCATACCTAGGAGCAGTCATGCCCTCTCCTTTTTATTTCTTTTTTTCATTCAGATATGTCTGAGTGCATTTGAAGCTCAGCACTATTTTGGGAATAAACTGATCACCAGATGTGCTGGGATTTTGGGGGGGGTGAGGCTGTTTTTTATTTATTTATTTTTGGGTTTTCGAGACAGGGTTTCTCTGTGGCTTTGGAGGCTGTCCTGGAACTAGCTCTTGTAGACCAGGCTGGCCTCGAACTCACAGAGATCCACCTGCCTCTGCCTCCCAAGTGCTGGGATTAAAGGCATGCGCCACCAACGCCCGGCCTTGATTTATTTTTTAAGACAGGATTTCTCTGTGTAACAGCCCTAGCTGTCCAGGAACTACCTCTATAGACTAGGCTGACCTCGAACTCACAGAGATCAGCCTACCTCTGCCTCCCAAGTGCTGGGATTAAAGGCGTGAGCCACCAATGCCCGGCAAGACCTGCTGTTTTAATGCAATAATAAATCTTTGTGGGTACAATTTAAGAAATATTTTGATTATTATATGTTAATATATTTTTCTCTTCACAATTGTTTGTATATTTCAAGTACATAAAGAAGTCTGGAGAAGCTGGGCACTGGTGGCACATGCCTTTAATCCCAGCACTTGGGAGGCAGAGGCAGGTGGATCTCTGTGTGTTCGAGGCCAGCCTGGTTTACAGAGCGAGTTCCAGGACAGCCTCCAAAACAATACAAAGAAACCCTGTCTCAAACCCCCCCCCAAAATAAAAGAGTCTGAAGAGATGGCTCATAACTGGCTGTGACTCCAGTTCTAGGGATCTTATGTCCTCATCTGACCCATGTGGGGACAAGGCATCATGTGGTATATACAATACATACATACAAGCAAAAACCTTATACATAAAATAAAAACAAGTCTCTTTTATTTTTTTTTATTTTTTTGGTTTTTCGAGACAGGGTTTCTCTATGGCTTTGGAGGCTGTCCTGGAACTAGCTCTTGTAGACCAGGCTGGCCTCGAACTCACAGAGATCCGCCTGCCTCTGCCTCCCAAGTGCTGGGATTAAAGGCATGCGCCACCAACGCCCGGCAAGTCTCTTTTTTAAAAAAGGATAAAAATATACAAAGATGACACAACAGAACTCTGTAGTGTAGCAGTCAGGAGACATAGGCGACCAAGAGTTCAAAGTCATCCTTGTTAGGTTTCTGAGGCAACATTAAGAAAAGACACAGAGGAGTCGGGCGTTGGTGGCGCACGCCTTTAATCCCAGCACTCGGGAGGCAGAGGCAGGCGGATCTCTGTGAGTTCGAGGCCAGGCTGGACCGACAGCCTCCAAAACAGAGAAACCCTGTCTCGTAAAACCAAAAAAAAAAAAGAAAGGAAAAGACACAGAGGGCTGGAGAGATGGCTCAAAGGATAAGAGCACTGACTGCTCTTCCAGAGGTTGTAAGTTCAACTCCCAGCAACCACATGGTGGCTCACAACCATCTATAATGAGATCTGGTGCCCTCTTCTGGTGTGCAGGCATACATACACTGTATACATAATAAATAAGAAAAAAATATTAAAAAAAAAAAAGAAAAGACACAGAAAGAGACCAGAGTCTGATCTTCGTGATGGAACTATGTTTATTAACACACACAGCAAGGGGAAGTCCCTCGCCTGGGTGTAACTGAGGGATCTTCCAGGGGGGGGAAAACTGGTTGCTACTCTTTATATGGGGGGGATTGAGGAAAGTGTTACAGCCATGTGTCTCTCCTGCAGTCTCTCCTTCCTGAAATTGTTTGCCCAGGACAGACAAACTATCATGAGAGACAGCCTGTCTCTAGAGATGATCCTTCCTGTGCAGACCCATAAGGCTGCGCAAGGCCGTCTGCAGCCTCACAGGAACCCTGTTTTACCACTGAGGCACTCTAACAATCCCCAGCTATTGTCCCCATTTCTTCACCTAGGAGGCAAACTTCTCCAAGCCCTCAGCCCCCAATTCTTTCTGGCAGTCAGCTGAGACACAGGAATAGGTCAGTAATCTGTCCCACCAAAGTGGGCCAGTGCATTCTCTTCCTGCTGGCGCTGCAGCCTTAATTTCAGACTTCACAACGGAAAGAGGAGACTCCAAGAGGCCAGGATCTGCCAGGGCTCTAGATGGGCAAAGCTAGGCCAGCCTCACCCCAGGCCCTGGAAGGAGGAGGAGGAAGAGGAGGAGGAAAAGAAGAAGGAAGAGGAGGAGGAGTAGGAAAAGAAGAAGAAAGAAGAAGTAGAAGAAGAAGGAGGAGGAGGAAGAAGAGGAAAAGGAGGAGAAAGAGGAAAAAGAGAGAGAGAGAAAGATCTAGTGACCACTTTGCCTTCAGTCTCTGTTGGGCTACTGGACCCTGGAAACTGAAGAACCTACCTTGAAATAGTGTATTTACAAGCTACCACTCTCTTGCAGCACACTCAATAAACTATTAATAATAATAGTAATAGTTTTAACAATTTAAAGAGTGCAGTAAGTTGTACAGATAAGGATCCATCTTGGTAACACACACTTTTAATCTCAGCACTCAAGTAGCAGAGGCAGGGGAATCTCTGAGTTCAAGAGTAATCTACAAATACATACATGTGCACATACATACAGATTCATACACATATATACTTGCATAAAAATAAAATAAATTTTTGTTTAAAAGAACATAAAATTCCAGCCGGGTGGTGGTTGTGCACGCCTTTAATCCCACCACTCAGGAGGTAGAGGCAGGCGAATCTCTGTGAGTTCGAGGCCAGGCTAGACCGATAGCCTCCAAAACAATACAGAGAAACCCTGTCTCATAAAATCAAAAAAAAAAAAAAAAGAACATAAAATTCCAGTACTCAGTTGGCAGAGGCAGGTAGATCTCTGTGAGTTCTAGGCCAGCCTGGTCTATATAGTGAATTCCAAGACAGGGCTATGTAGAAAGACCCTGTCTCAAACAAAACAAAACAAAACAATATAATTAATATTTTAAAATAAGAATAAAAATTTGACCTGTCAGTCATCAAAACCCATGGCAAATTGTGGAAAATATGTACACGCTAGCGGTATTGCTGTAAAGGTAAATTTATTTAAGAGAAAATGCATCCAAGTTCCCCTTTTGCACAATGCACAAACACTATGGGAACAATGAGTGGTGAACAACACCCTATGGTCTGTTGGATGTTCCTAGGTCAACGTAAGGAGAGTATGTGGCAGACACTTGAGTGTCCAGGCTCCGGGACTGAAGTAGACTCTAATCTTCCACCAGCAGACTGTCAGCCTTCAGCTGGGTCCTCCTTATACTCTCCAAGTTCAGCTGCTGATATTTTCTTTTGAAAAAGCCACACTGAAACAGAGAGGAGGGAAGCCTCGTGAGGGACCTGGGGTAGCCGCCTGCTTTGGAAGCAGAAAGTCGCTAAGCAGCTCCAGACCTGCTTCGTGGCCTCTCTTTCCTCCCTCTGAGCTTTTCTGATCCTCCCAGTCCCTTCTTCAGAGAGTGCTGCCTTCCTGGTGTTCATCCCCACCCCCCCACCCCGAGAGCTGACCCCCCCCCACTGTCCTCTGAACCTCGAGAGCACTTAAACACCTTTAACTAACTAACTTTAGCTATGGAGTCAGTTGTACAGCTGGATCTAATCCTCTTCCTGGAAGAATGCCGGGGACAGCCTGCCATGCTAAAGACATAAAGATTCCTATAGAAACTCGGGATCTAGGAAGAGGGTGAAATGACAGGTGTGATGACTGCCCCCTGTAAGGCTTTCAGAAGGGAGCTCTCAGGCTCCGCCTCCTGGGGAGCTGTGTGAGGGGTGAGAGGGTGGGAACAGGCACTCCTAGCAAGGGCAGTCATGCACGCCCCAACAGAGAGCGGGCACCTATTCAGGGGATGGGTCAGCTTGTCTGGAGAAAACAAAGCAAGACTTAGGCGTGTGAGAGACAGAGGCCAGGGTGTAGAAGGCCTCAAATAACACTAAGAAAGTCTGGACTCTGGGGTAGGGACTTTAAAAGGGGTGACAATCAAATCTGCTTTAGGAACATCTCTCTGTGCTCAAATACTTCAATTAGTCTTCTATTTTTTTTCCAGAGAGAAACTGCCAGGTTCATCTGTCTAAACAGGACATAGAGCTTCAACAACAAAGGAAAGAGGCCACAAGGCCAGGGTAGGGGCAGTAGGTCTGAGGTTAGCTGTCCTCCAAGGTACTGAAAGCAGTATCAGAGCCCAGTGGCTTCTCCTTGCAAACATGATGAGTGGAACTGACCTTGAATAGAACGGCTATAATCACGGCCAAGAGCAGGAGGCCTCCAACACTGCTGCCAATGATGAGAGGCAAAGAGCCGGGCTCCTCATCTCTCAGGAAGATGACAGTGATCTGGATAAAGATTTGGTCCATTAGCCAGTAAGTTATAAGGGAGGGAGACGACCCGTGTTATTTTAAGGATCAAAAGATGAGGACTTGGTAACAACCAGAATATTGATCAAGACTGATGGCGGGAAGGCAAAAAGCTGACCATCCCCTGACACAGCACTTTCCATCAGCTAAAATCATCTTATGATCACAGCACTCCACAAGAAACAATTCTGGTCTCTGATCTAAGCAAGCTGGGTCATCAGGGATGTGACCTTGACCTAAAGGTGGTCTGAGAACACTCCCAGAGCATCAAGATTCTACAGAAGCTGTGCCTCTCTGTGTCCTTGATCCCTGCAGTCACTGTCTCCAAAGTGATGACTTGTTTAAAGATCTCCATGTCCTTTTCAACTCAAGTCTGACAGATATTTTTAAATCTCCTACACATGCCTCATGTCTTCGGCAATACATTTTCCTATAAGAGGCTGGAAAGATGGCTCAGAGATTAAGAGCACTGGCTGCTCTTCCACAGGTCCTGAGTTCAATTCCAGGCACCTACAGGGTAGGTCACAACCATCTATAATGGGAACCGGTTCCTATTCTGGCATATAAGCAGGCAGAACACTATACATTTTCCTACAAGAAATGACTGGCAGGGGTTGCCCTGTCCTTCACCAGGCTGAGTGCAGCCCTTGGGGACACTGTGAGTACAGAAGGGGGTCCACCCACGGCACTTCCGGGTTCCTCTGTTAGAAATCATTCCCACAAGGTGTTTTCCTAAGGATCTCATGAGCTCAAGAGTCTTCTTTCACCCTGACACACTGAAAAGCTCCACAGATACACTTCCTGACAGGGGCCTGGTCCTCCTGGGTAGTCCAAAGCGTGCTGCCAGGACACACACAGTTACAGCCAGAGGGTCATCATGACTCCCTGTTGCAAGACACTGCATTCCCTTCAGGCCAGGGCATAAGCACCAAGGTCATGCATACTTTGGAGAGATTTCCATACAGGGTAGAGAGTTAGCCAACTCTCCCCTGAGGCCTCTCTCAGCTAAGTTATAAATGTGACTGACTCAGGACTGGCCCTCTGGACTACACTTAGCTACAAGTAAACTGAACTTCATAGGAGTTAAGTTCTGACCTTGAGAGCAGGAAGGTAACAGAGCAACAGAGCTGGAGGGGGGGACAAGACAGAGTTGTGATCTCAACATCCAAGTAGAAGGTAAGGGGAGGGCAAGCAGGACTCTGGAACCTGGGCTGAGGAATGAAGGAGGCCTCGGGCACAATAGGCCAGACTGGAGTGGAAACAGCACCCGTTTCTCAAAGCCTTCTTCCTTCGCCCTCCTTGAAATGCACAGCTTCTCCCCAAAATGGGCCAAAGCTACCCCAGCAGAGGGTAAGGGAGAAGGGGGACATAGAATGCCCTGCCCCCGTTGTAGCAAACATGGACGGTGCGCAGTCCAGTGGCCACCCTGCCAGCTGCTGGTGACTGGAAGGAGACAGCACCTCCACTGACAGCTGAAGGACCCATTATTTTCAGTTGGTACCTTTCAGTTAGGGCTGGATTTCAATTATATTACTTTATTTTTCAGTTTCCAAGACACGGTTTCTCTGTGTAGACATGGCTGTTCCAAAACTCACTCTGTAAACCAGAATCTGCTTGCTTCTGCCTCCCAAGCGCTGGGATTAAAGGTGTGCACCACCACCACCTGGCTTAATGATATTACTTTATAAAAATCAGACTGTGCCCTGCTCCAAGTTACTCTATACTGTCTGTAGAAACACACACACATACCTACACACACAAAGTAAGTGTAATAAACTAGGTGTGTAAGATCAGGCTACACCCTGCTTTGGGTTACTCTATACTGTCTTTATAAAACAGCTTTCCAGGCTATGCCCTGCCGCAAGAGAGACTCCATTTTATGAGCAGTGTTTGACTCTATTTTGAAGATGGAGGACTGTATTCCTGGGCGGACATGTGAACAGCACTATTCATCTGGCATCAAGCATGCAGCACAGACTGATAAATGACTCACTTATTCCTAGAAGCAGAAAGGACAGCATAAATCTATTGGGGTGAATTGAGACTGTAGGGGCACATGGGCATATTAAAATGATTATGAGAGAAACTAGGTCTAGGAGTTTATCAGACACTAGACCAAGGAAAAGGTGTGTGCAACATTAGCAATTATGTGTATGAGTATTTTGCCTGCATAGATGTCTGTGAACCATGTGCACTCCTGGAGCCTCTGCGGTCAGAACAGGAGGGTAGGAGAAGGCATTAGATCCCTTAGAACTAGAATCATAGATGGATGTGAGCCAGCATGTCGGTGCTGGGAACTGAACCTGGGTCTTCAGCAAGAGCAACCTACACTCTTTTTTTTTTTTTTTTTTTTTTTTTTTTGGTTTTTCGAGACAGGGTTTCTCTGTATTGTTTTGGAGGCTGTCCTGGAACTCACTCTGTAGACCAGGCTGGCCTCGAACTCACAGAGATCCGCCTGCCTCTGCCTCCCGAGTGCTGGGATTAAAGGCGTGTGCCACCAACGCCCAGCTGAGCAACCTACACTCTTAACCAATGAGCCATCTCCCCAGGCCCCAACACCATGTCCTCCATGGCATCAGACACACATGTGGTAGACAGACATACAGGCAGGCAAAACACCCACACATAGAAAATAGAATTAAAGAAAAAAATGAAGATATAGGGCATCGTGCACAAAAACATTCAGCTCAGACCAGGGCATCAGTTTGGCTTTGTTCACATTTTTGAAAAATCACACTTCCAGTGCTGGCCTAACGCCTATAAAATGATTAGGCACTGTGAGCATACCACTGTTCAACAATGTAACAGACACTAACATTACATACTAGGAGGACAGTATATGGACGTCTCACATTGGAAATGTTTTAACTGCTTCCTAAATTATTTTCAAAATAAATTAATTTTTAACTAAGTACACACTGTTGTTGATTCCTATTACACAGATGAGAAAGTATCACAGGGCAGGTGGTCGTGTAGCCAAGGTCAGCAGTGACAGCAGTTTTGCCAGAGCACTCATGAGGAAACAGCCCGGAGTTACCTGCGTTCTGTGGTTTTCTGCACTCAGCCCCTCATACAGAGATTTGTTGAAAGATATTTCACCGAGGATCTGCAGCTCAGCCACATCTCTTAGTAGCTATGAGATGGGGAAGGGTGGGGTGTGGAGGAACATGAAACATGTTGTGGACATGAGCTCATTGTTTCTGGAGAGTTTGAACCAGTTTTCCCCTCAAATGTATTCCTTCTCCAGTATTCCTTCTGCCTCCATAAATGGTCCCAGCAGCCACAGTCATCCAAGCCACAAGCCTGTAGTCAATCCCCAACTTCTTTTCCCTTACACTTGGCATCGTGCCATCACCCCCACCCCCACCCCCAACCCCCACCCCCCCACCCCCCACCATCCCCACCCCCACCCCAGGCAAAGCCAGCTCTGGACAGTCCTTCATTCTGCCACCCATGCGTCCCTTTTCCTCCATTGCCACTTCTGTCTCATCTGGCTCACTGCACAACGTTAAACTTGGTCATTTGTTCCCACTTTACAATAAGGCCTTTCAGGAAATAAAATTTGACCAGTATTATGCAAGCTAACTATAAGTGCAAAGTCCCAGTGGCCACAATGATATTAACAAGCTAAAAGGCAGAAATGACAGAATATCTGGGTATAATGGAGAGACAGGTGAGAAAGGACAGACAGCAAAGGGTGATAAATTAAGCAGATACCAGATCATGCAATTCTTTGCTTGCCATGAAAGCACTGTGGATTTTAACCTAAGCGTATCTAACTCCAAAGTCAGCTGTGTCTGGAGTTTCTGATTTTGTTTTAAAGCAAGATAACGCAGTCTAGTGTTAACTTAAGGATTATTTTGCTTTTAAAAATCATGAGCACAAAAAAAAAATCATGAGCACAAAAAGGGGTCAAAACCAGGCTGGTGAAACCTCAGAAACAGCTGACCTGAACAAGGGGGAGCTCATGGACCCCAGACTGATGGCTGGGAAATAAGCATGGGACTGATCCAGACCCCATGAACGTGGGTGTCAGTGAGGAAGCCTCCGCAATCCAATCTACGGGGCCTCTGGTAGTGGATCAGTATTTATCCCTAGCATATGAATGGACTTTGGGAGCCCATTCCTTTTAAAGGATATGACAGACTTTAAAGATCCCTAACAGAAGGCCTCACCCTCCCTGGGAAGCAGAAAGGGGGATAGGGCAGGGGTTAGTGGAGGGCAGGGGAGGAGGGGAGGGAAAGGGAACTGGGATGGACATGTAAAGCAATCTTGTTTCTTATTTAAATAAAAATAGAAAAAAACCATGTGCATATATGTGCATGTATGTGTGTGGGTGCAGGTGTCCATGGGGACTAGGAGAGGGCATCAGACACCCCCACATCTGGTGCTACACGTTGTTGTGAGCTGCTAGGGACGGAGCCTCATCTTCTGCAAGAAGAGCACATGCTCTAAACTGCTGGTCCATCTCTCGGCTCTTGAAGAAGTGTTTGGACAGGCTAGGGGGGACACCAAGACAAAGAGAGCGTGCCCACAAATGGACTTTGGGAGCCCATTCCCTATGGAGGGATACTATTTTAGCCCAGATGCATAGAGGAGGGTCTAGGCCCTCCCCCAAATGATATGACAGACTTTGATGATTCCACATGGAAGGCCTTACTGTCCTTGGGGAGCAGGTGGGGAGCAGGTGGGGAGTAGGCTGGGGAAGTTGATATGGGGCATGGGAGGATGGGAGAAAGAGGGAATAAGGGGATTGATATGTAAAATGATTGTTTCTAAATTAAAAGAAAAAAAAAGAGAGTGTGCCCAACAGAGAGAGTGACCTGAATTACTAACACATCAGTAGAGCAGAGAGACCTGAGTTAATATATGTTCTGAGGGCGGATGGCAGGGTTTACTGCTAGGATGCACATGAGGAAGCAGCAAAGAGTCACGGGGTATTGTATTGTCAGTGTGCACAGGACTAAGATGCCTGGGTATTGTCAGTGTGCACAGGACTAAGATGCCTGGGGTATTGTATTGTCAGTGTGGACAGGATTAAGATGCCTGGGGTATTGTACTTGTCAGTGTGCACAGGACTAAGATGCCTGGGTATTGTATTGTCAATGTGGACGGGATTAAGATGCCTGGGGTATTGTACTTGTCAGTGTTCACAGGACTAAGATGCCTGGGTATTGTATTGTCAGTGTGCACAGGACTAAGATACCTGGGTATTGTCAGTGTGCACAGGACTAAGATACCTGGGGTATTGTATTGTCAGTGTGGACAGGATTAAGATGCCTGGGGTATTGTACTTGTCAGTGTGGACAGGACTAAGATACCTGGGGTAATTGTACTTGTGAATGTGGACAGGATTAAGATACCTGCTATGTACTTGCTAAGGGTAGGTTGGGACAGAAGGCCAATCAATATATCTATTCCAGATGGCACATTCCAGGTTCTATTATTCTTTCTAGAGTCTAGGTCCTAGAGCTGGATGACAAAGTCTGCAAAATTTCAGTCTTGAGTACCTACCTGCTTACTGTGGCCCAGGGAGATTTCCGCAGCCACAGTTACATTTTCTTTATTAGATGTGATATCACAGATCACTGAATGCCACTCTTCTACATGCTGCAAAAGCAAAAGGTGAGTTTGTTTACTCCCTTCTAGCGCTTCGGGCTGAAAAATCTGAATATCTAGGACAGAGCATCTAAGGCCCCTGAGTGTGCAGTTTGTGCAAGCTCCTTCGCCCAAGCAAAGTGTCAGTCACCCTAGCAAACAGGACCAGAGAGACTGAGAGTCTCAGAAAGAACTTTGCAGAAGCTGCGACCTGACCTCTGCGGCCACCTTGTTAAGGCGTTCACCACATCCCTCTCTCGGGCTCTTGAGACGACCTCGCTCACCTGAACAGGATCGCTTCCACACGCGCGCTCTCGGCTCTGCGTGCACTCAGTGTGGGCCTGAAACGAGATCCCTTCCTGAGTCGCCCTGAGCGCTCAAAGTCGCGCAAGGCATCTGCCACCTGGCGGCCTCTGGGGAGGTCCGGCGCGCTGTTGCAGCCTAGAGCAGGCGCTAGGACCCAGCGGGCCGGCGGGCGCGCTCGCGGAAGTCTCGCGGTGTTTCGGTTTGAACCGACCGGCGGGCACCCGCCATGGCAGCGTCCATTCCGCGGCCCGGGACCCGGCTCTTCCGAACGTACGCGGCGAGGGGCGTCCAGGGGTCGCAGCCTAGCCGGCTGGCCGTACAATGGTTCCAGCCGCCGGATCCGAAGCGCGCTTTCAGCAGCAGCTTCAGCGGCAATGACCAGTCGCCGTCTGTCGCTTCCGACGACTCTGACGACCCCGACTTCCCTGGCAGCCCCGTGGGCCCGCGGCGCAGTCGTTCTCCGGGCCGCGTCTCCCCGGACCGGTGGACCCTGACAGTCACCCAGAGGCTGCGACCTCGGCCCCTGCAGAAGTGCAACAGGCGTTCTCCGGGCCGCGTCTCCCCGGATCGGTGGACCCTGACAGCCACCCGGAGGTTGCGGCCTCGGCCCCGGCCCCGGCAGAAGTGCAGCACCCCGTGTGGCCGGCTGCGACCGCCACCCTTCTCCAGCTGCAACCCGGGCTGCTTCAGCCCGGACCTCAGCGTGTGCAGCCAGTCCAGGGACAGCAACGAGCTGGGCACCAGTGCCTCCCTATTCAGCTCTCCGGCCTCCCCCGGAGCCCCCGACTCTCCCGATGCAGCCCCTGAAGTCCCTAACAGCTCCCACCTCCCGGCAACCTCCCTGGACGAAGAAGCATCTCTGCCCTGTCCCCAGGAAGCAGCAACAGATGAAGGCAGGTTCGCCAGGATGGCCGGCCAATCCGGAGCCGACTTCAGGTCAACCGTCTTTAACCTTGTGGACTCTGGCACCGCTGAAGGTAACGAGTTTGGGACAAATGGGAAGAATGAAAGACAGCAGGTGGGAAACGGACTAAAGGGCCCAGGTCTAGCAAGCACGAGAAAGAGAAGGACCACAGGTCAGATGGCTGTGTCTCAAGGAGCCGACCAGATGGACTGTGGGGCGGCCAGTGCTTGCAAAGACCTTTGTGTACCAGGGCAAATCAACAGGCCTAAGAGAGCTGGGCCACTCCAGAAGAGGAAACGGCAAAAATCTATGGGAACCTCTGCCCTCCGCTACCAGCAATCTAAGAAGAAAAAGAAAGATTCAGTCCCTTTGCCGGACTTGAGTCATATCCATGAGACCTGTTCTTGGGCCAAAACCAGAGCCTCCTTCAGTTTCCACAAGAAGAAAGTTATAAGTAATGTGTCAGAGGAATGCAGCAGCCATATTGCTGGTTCTTCTAGGTCCATCCTGTCTGAATATTCAACCCCCGGTGTCATGGACAGAGCGAATAGTACTGTTTCCTCTTGTCACTCCTCTTCTATGTATTTGCTAAGCCCCTTACAGACCCTGCAGGTCACAGACAAAAAACCATCTTATGCTGAAAAGGTGTATGGGGAGTGTAATCAGGAAGGGCCTGTCCCCTTTCATGATTGCCTTTCCATGGAAAAATTGGAACACTGTAAGAAGATTGGCGAAGGTGTGTTTGGAGAAGTGTTTGAAACAATTACTGATCAAACACCCGTAGCCCTAAAAATCATTGCTATTGAAGGACCAGATTTAGTCAATGGGTGCCATCAAAAAACCTTTGAGGAGATCCTGCCAGAGATCATCATCTCCAAAGAGCTGAGCCTCTTGTCTGATGAGGTGTACAACCGCACAGAAGGCTTTATTGGGCTGAACTCAGTACACTGTGTCCAAGGGCCTTACCCTCCCTTGCTGCTCAAAGCCTGGGATCACTATAATGCAACCAAAAAATCTGCAAATGACCGGCCTGACTTCTTCCAGGAAGACCAGCTCTTCATTATACTGGAATTTGAGTTTGGTGGGATTGACTTAGAGAGAATGAAAGGAAAGCTGGCCTCCGTGGCTACTGCAAAGAGCATTCTACACCAGATCACCGCATCCCTCGCAGTGGCAGAAGCATCGCTGCACTTTGAGCACCGTGACTTACACTGGGGGAATGTGCTCTTAAAGAAAACCAACCTCAAAGAGCTCCAGTACACCCTCAATGGGAAGACAAGCACCATTCCCACCCATGGGCTACAGGTCAACATCATCGACTACACCCTGTCCCGCTTGGAGCGGGATGGGATTGTGGTTTTCTGTGACATCTCCACTGAAGAGGACCTGTTCACAGGTGAAGGTGACTACCAGTTTGAGATCTACAGGCTCATGAGGAAGGAGAACAGAAACTGCTGGGGTGAGTACCACCCTTACAATAATGTGCTGTGGCTACATTACCTGGCAGACAAGCTTCTGAATCATATGACCTTTAAGACTAAGTGTCACACCTCAGCCATGAAGAAGGTGAAGGAGAAACTGGGGCATTTCCACAGAACTGTACTGACGTTCCGCTCTGCCACTGACCTGCTCTGCCAGCACAGTCTGTTTCAGTAAGCCAGCTACTGAGTGCTCGCACTTCCAAAGCCTCACTGAGTACGCCTTCACTGCCTCTGCTACTGTTTTTAATCTCTGCCACTGGAGCAGGATGGAGGTGAATACCCATCCTTAAGGCTTCCCTGTCAGCTTTTAAAAAAGAGAGTTTTGTTTTTAAAAGGTAACCAGAATGTTTATCAACGTAATTAAACTTGCTTTTAACAAGTGTTCTGAAAAAAATAAACTACATAGAGGACAAGTGTATACATCTTGTAAGTCCTCTTTCTGCCAGCAGAGTCTACAAATCTGATATTGCCATTTTTTTGAGCCTTGATACCCTATGTAGGGTGAGCAAACAAGTCAGAAAAGCCCAGCCCTCAGCTATGGTCCTTCTTGCTCCTGATGCTGCTGTCAGTGCTGGTGCAGGAACCAAACCTCAGATGCATGTTTTTTTTTTTTTTAACTGAATGCAAAATAACAGAGCACAAAAACAGACTAGAGGGTCAAAGCTGAGAAGGAGGGGTACACAGTAGCATAGAGGATGTGTGGGAAATGTCTATCAAATTCATTCACCAGTCACAGAAACTGAAGCAGGATTTGCAAATTTTCAAAAGGGAAATAAATGTCTATGGCGCTGATGTTTGACTTTTGCTTATTTTCATCAAAGAAAGGGAAACCTCGCTGTAAGATCTTAATAATTTTCTTTCTGACTTACTCCTAATATATCCCCATAATTAAGTAGTCTTGTTTCTTAATCTTAAAGCTCATGTTGGTTTGTTTGGGTCTTGTTTTGTTTTTATTTTATTTTTATTTTTTATTTTTATTTTTTTTTTGGTTTTTCGAGACAGGGTTTCTCTGTGGCTTTGGAGGCTGTCTTGGAACTCACTCGGTAGACCAGGCTGGTCTCAAACTCACAGTGATCCATCTGTCTCTGCCTCCAGAGTGCTGGGATTAAAGGCGTGCGCCACCAACGCCTGGCTGTTTTTAAATTTTTAAATGCACATTTGTTTGTGTGCAGGTACAGGTTGAGAGGCAGTGGGACAAGTAGAAATCAGAGTACATCTTCAGGTGTCATCCTCAGGGATGCCATCCACATTTGTGACAGTCACCTATGGGCCGGAGTTCACCAATTAAGCTAGATTTCTGTGCTAGTGAGCCTCGGGGACCCTTCACTTTCCTAGCAGTGAGGTTACAAACACATAACCACCACACCCAGCATTTTTACATGGATTCTGGGAATCAGACTTTGTGCTTGCAAGGCAAATGCCTTACTGAGTTATTCCGCCAGCCCTTGTTTTGTTTTTGTAGTCCTAAGGTTTGAGTACAGGGCTCAGGCTAGTCTTGAACTTACTCCATAGCTAAGATGGCTTAAACTTACAAAATCCCTTGCCTCATCCTCACAGACAGCTGCAGTTACAAGCCTGTGCTACCAGGCCTGGGCTAAAGCTCTAGTTTTTATACCTTTGAGAATCTGTAGTCTCTGGAAAGAGATGCAATCATGATAGAGTCCTCGAAAAACTAAAACAGCGACATCAACAAAACTGGGCAATGGTGATACACACCTTTAATCCCAGCATTCAGGAAGCAGGCAGGCAGATCTCTGTGAGCTCGAGGCCAGCCTGGTCTATAGAGCACATTCCAGGACAGCTAAAGCTACACAGAGAAACTCTATCTCAAAGAAAAACAAAAGAATCTCATTTAAATACCTGAGTCTTTGTCAGATTCTTCACTCTTATAATCTGGAAAGTTTGTAATTTGATTGGGACACAAATTTGCAACTGGAATACAGCTCCAAAGAGATTTTCCCCGTGCACCTGCCAAATAAATGAGCAAGTCAAAGCTTGGCGGCTTTACCAGTTTAGGTCAACAGTAAGCACTATGTACTTACGCTGAAGTCAAAGCTTGGCGGCTTCACCAGTATAGGTCGACATTAAGCACTATGTACTTACGCTGAAGAGGAATTCTTTGTGGTCAGAAGGGCTCTGGCTTGTGTTCATGTACATCACTGATGGTCTGCAATGAGAAGGCATGCGTGAGGACTCAAGGTTCCTTCCTGATTCTGAATGAACCTGAGTGTTTCCAACTGGATATGCTAGGGCAGATAGCACCAGGTCTTTAAGAGGACTCAAAACTGAAAGTCAAAATGTTAAGTACTTGTAAGGCAGTTGGGACAAAAGAACAGTTGCAAGCTATACAGTTGGACTTTACTCTGAGTGGCCTTCCTTGGTTTCTCTATCTTGTATGTGTGTACGTACATGTGTGGCAGTGCACTGGCCCGTAGTGCACATGTGCTGCCAGAGGTCAACATCGCGTCTCCTATACTCTCCACTTTAGCTTTTGACAATCTCTCACTGAACCTGGGAGTTTGCTATTTTAGCTATACTTGCGAGCCGAAAGGCTCTGCCTCTCACCACACCCACTCCAGCACTGACGTTACAAATGGGTGTCACACCACCTGACTTACATGGGTGCTGACCTCAGGTCCTGATGCTTGCACAGCGAGAACTGTACTCACTGAACCATCTCCCCAGCCCTTCCCCAACCCCACAGTCACTCACTCCCTTTCCATTGCATTACATCAGTTTCCTTTGACAGCAGAACCAGTTGGCACTGTGCTTTTGATGACCACTGTGGTATTTGAAAAACCCAACATGATGTATTCGAGTTGTGCCGTAAAGAAACTGAAACTGCCCCTCCATGGGTGGAAGAGAAGTTTATTCCAAACTGCCAAGGCTGTCTCTAGCATAGACCCTGATGTGCAGAGATAGGCACTACAGGTGTTGTTAACTGGAGAGCCAGATACCCCAAATCAGTGAGTCTGCCCTTTTTTGGAGGGGGAGGGGATGGGACACTATCCTTTGAACCTGACAGTATCCTAGGCCAGGCATTAAGCAGCCTCCTCTTGGAGGAAGGGCAATGCCCACATCCACCCTGATGGGCACTTCTGTCCACAAGAGAGTATCCCCAAAGCTGTCCTCATTGCATGGCCATCACACAAACCCCTTGGGAATACTTACCTAGAAAGAGCTGCAAAGAAGGCATGCCTGAATTGAAGGCTGTGGGTCTCTCTGGCCAAAGACTTCTCATTGGAACTGGGGGAAAAAAATGTTAATTGATTACACAATTGCTTTGTTACCTTAACTTCCTACATCTCAAAGATGAATTTCTTAGAAGCCCACACTTAGAGAAATGTTGATTTCAGAGCTTCCATACTTGACATTTTGGGCCAAAGAATTCCCTGTTATGAACTTGTCCTACATGCTGATTAATGGTTATTAGCATCTGTCAGCAGAAGCCAGTATCACCTTGTAACTCACTGTGATCAAAATTAGTTCTAAAATACTACCATGGTGGTGCATGCCTTTAATCCGAGTACTCGGGAGGCAGAGGCAGGCATATCTCTGAATTCAGGGACAGCCTGGTCTGCAGAGCAAGTACCAGGACAGCTAGGGCCGCACAAAGAAATCCTGTCGGGGGGGGGAGGACCAAAAAACCTTCAGCCATTGCCTGAGGAGTAGAATCGCCCTTGTTTGACCCCACCCCAGCACCATACCCTGTTAGGGAGGCTTGCAGAATTATATCAGAGTTGAGAAAGCCAGTCCAAAGCTCATTCCACCAGGATATACCCTGGTGTTCCCTTGTGTGAATTAAGATACCTTCAGGATCTTTGATGAGAGGAAAATTCTGTAGGCACAGTGAGGTAACCCCTTTCTCCCAGAACAGCAACGGAGCCAGAGCACTCAGCGAGAATATGACAAGATTTCCCCCCAAGGCCAGATCCTAAGTCTGCTAACACAGTCACTACTTACTTAGAGATGGTCACAGTGACTTCCGCTGTCCTATTTGGAAAGATGGTCTCCTCTAGCTGCCAAATCACTGAGATGTTTGCCTATTTTAAAGGAGGGATAAATAAGTAAAGGGGGAACTAGTCACTTGATAACTGTTGCTAATCACTGCTCACACTGTTTCAAACTGGCTGTGGTGGGTTGAGTAGGAATGGGTCTCCATGTGCTCAAATACTTGAAGCCAGGGGGTGGAACCCTGACCGGATGGGAAGGATTAGAAGGTGCCTCTTTATTAGAGGGAATATGTCACTGAACTGGGGGTGGGGAGGTGGGGGCTTTGAGTTTTCAAAAGCTCACACCAGCCCAGTCTGCCTGTGGCTCCGGATATAACTCTCCGCTACTTGTCCAGCACCGTGCCTGCCTACCACCATGCTCCCTGCCATGCTGAAAATGGACACTGTAAGAAGCTCCCAATCAAAGGCTTCCTTTTCTAAGAGTTGTCTTGGTCATCTGGGCTCTTCACAGCAATAGGACAGTGACAGACGCTGGCTAAGCAGCACGAGGAAACCCAGTTTATATTCCTCATGATGTTTGTTGTCGTTTTCATAGCACAGCCATTATTTCATATCAGCTTCACTATGCGAATACCAAGCGAGCCAAATAGACGGCGTCACTCTCCTCCAAGTAAGGGAAGCTACAGCAGTTTCTGCACAATACAAACATAAATCGGCCTGCTGTTCCCTCCATATTGCCCCCACTTCACTCTGCTTTCCCTGGGAAGCCAACACCGGCCATGCTTTACATCAGAAAGCTATCCCACCACTCCATTTCAGGACAGGCTCAGCTCTCCACACTGCTGTGTGGTGACCACAGCAGAGGGAAGCATAGCGACCACAGCTGGAAGATGCCGATGAGGCTGGGAGCTCGGGTAGTGGGAAGAATCACAGCAGACTCACAGATGATCTCTTGAGTATGGGGTGACCAATCTTGCAGTTCATGACCAGGACAGAAGCAACTGGCTTGGGGTCATCACAGTGAATGTCTGGAGAGAGAGGCTGTTAAAACAAGATGTTTTCGTTTGTTTTTCATTTGTATTTATTTATTTTATGGGTAGGAATGTTTTGCATGCATGTGTATGTCTGGTATTCTCAGAGGTCGGAAGAGGGCATCAGATACCCCTGGAACTGGAGTTACAAATGGTTGTAAGCCACCATGTAGCTACTGAGGCTCAAACCCAAGTCCTCTGGAAGAGCAGCTGGTACTCTTAACTGAACCATCTCTCCATCCCCGAAAGATGCTGAGTAGGGAAAGGAAGTTTCATCACACCAACAACCATTGGCTGATTTGTCTACATGTCAGGCTTGGTCCCTGGTCTACTCACAACTGAGGGGCGAGTTTAAACCCAAAGGCTGAGGGTAGTACTCTGAGTGAGGCTCTGTAGCGGTGGAGACTGGTTCCAGTTGACAGGACTATATAAAGTCCTCATGGAGAGGAAGACATTGGAACTGGCCTGTGAACCAATACAAGTGTCACGCTGAGATGGAGGGAAAGCTTGTGTGTGCTCAAGCACTGCTATGTGGCCTTCTAACCAGGGTTCCTCATCAGGATCATCAAACACAGAGAGCTACTGTCCCCTAGATGACCTGTCACTAGTTCCACCATCACTCATCCCATTTTAGATGTGAAGATGATAATTTCAATTATTCACAGCAGATGCTAACTTATAACTTAGCCCAAGCAAATTGAGGACAACCCCCCCCCCCCTGCAAACCTATAGTTCCAACAGAGTCAAGTTTTACTGACTCACTACAGTGAGGGCTGTCTTGTGGAGTGTCTTCACTCAACAAAGGAAA